TTTCTCCCGCCCAAGACCGAGCACGGCAACCTCGAGGACGGCGAGATCGACGACGAGCTCGAGCGCTTTGCGACGACGCAAAAGATCGTCGACGAACTCAACACGCAGCACAGCGGCGCCGTCTTCTCGACCGACAACCAGTTTGCACTCATGACCGAAGACGAGTTTGCGGCGTTTGTGAAGGGCGCGTTCAAGCACGAGACGCCCAAGCGCCAGCTCCGCGCCGACAACATTCAACTGTCGCTCACGCAAGCACAGCGCGAGGCCACGGACGTCGACTGGACGACCAACAAGTGCATGTCGCCGGTGCGCAACCAAGGCAGCTGCGGCTCATGCTGGTCGTTTGCGGCCGTCGGCGCCGTCGAGGCTGCGCACTGCCTTGTGACAGGGGACCTCGTCGACTTTTCCGAGCAGCAGCTCGTGAGCTGTGCGTCGAGCGCCGGCCATGGTTGCCAGGGCGGCTGGCCCGACAAGGCGCTCGACTACATTGCTCAGACCGGCCTCTGCACCGAGTCGAGTTTCCCGTACACGTCCGGCAGCTCCAACCAGAACGGGCAGTGCCAAAACTGTCAAAAGACCAAGGTCAGCGTCGGCAACTCGGTGGACATCCAAGGTGAGAACGCGCTGCAGTCGGCGCTCGACAAGCAACCGGTGACCGTCGTCGTCGAGGCCGGCAACAACGTGTGGCGCAACTACAAGAGCGGCGTCGTGCAGAGCTGCCCGGGTGCGCAGTCGGACCACGCAGTCATTGCGGTCGGGTATGGCACGAAAGATGGCCAGCAGCACTTCAAGATCAAGAACTCGTGGGGCACAGGCTGGGGCGAGAAGGGCTACATCTACCTCAAGCGCGGTGGCAGCGGCAAAGGCATGTGCAACGTAGCCGAGCGTCCGTCGTACCCGACGATGACCGGCAAGCCGCAGCCGTCGTCCAACCAGCCGCAGCCGACATCCAAGCAGCCGCAACCGACGTCCAAGCAGCCGTTGCCCAAGCCGACGAAGAAGCCGTCGAGCCAGCCGACGGAAAAGCCAACGACCGTGAAGCCGGCCGGCAAGTGCGACTGCAAGGGCTGCTACTATCCGCCCGTTGGTGGCTGCTTGAGCTCGTACTACGACCAAGACTACTGTGAGTACCTCTCGGGCTCGTATGGCTCGTATTGGTGCGCCTAAGTGGTTTATGGATTTGTGTAAACTGAGTACAATATGATACATATATCCTTTAATGTTATTCTAAAAGTAAATTATACTGTGTTGAGAGACAGTACAAAAGACTGTGGGATACTACGTGGGTATTCGAAGCGCCATAGAAACTGTAGATCATCTATCATTCACGCTGCCCTCAATGCCAAAGTTGGGGCCGAGAGTGCAGCCCAGACGCGACAAGAGCGGATCAAACACATACACAGTGCGCAGTCGCGGGAGCGCGTTTGGCCAATGCAATGATTCGCTTTTTAACACGATAAAATCACTCGTATCTATCTGAGCGTTGCGCGCAGGACTGCAGCGTGGTCTGCTCTGCTCTCCAAAGTATCTTCTATCACTGCGCCAACTAGGAGTTTC